ATACAAGACATATATTTCTTGTAATTATTTTCGCCAAAATTTAATGTTTGGCCTTAAAGTGAAGATTGATTATCGAGCGATTGGAGTGGACACTATAGGTACCAACCTATGAAAAATTCAATTCTTGAACCTCAGAACATGGAATACTTCTCATTATGGTTTCTAAATCACAGTAACAAGTTAGTATAGGATACTGATTACCTCAAATGACAAAGGAACAGTTATGTTAAAGGACGCAGAAAAGCTGTTTAAAAAAATAGGGTTTACCGTCGCACAAATATTTCGAAGCAGACAAGCCATTATCATTTGGTAAGTAAAAATATACATTTTATGGCGGAATTCGTATAACTCACGTATTACCTGCTGATGGCCTATCTGGGCAGAAATATATTGTGAGTGGATTAATAAAAACATTTGTTTGTGTGGCGGTAATCCCTATGTTTTTATTTTCTAGCACCACAAACAGGATGCAAGATTAGAGAACACATAAAGTTAATTAAAACACGAGTCGCGCCATAGCTCAAGCGGTTAGTCGCTGGCTTCCCACTGCGGCGGTCTGGGTTCGATCTTGGGTCTGGTCAAGTGGGATTTGTGGTAGACAAAGTGGCTCTGGGGCAGGTTTTCTCCGAGTACTTCGGTTTCCCCTGCCAATCTTCATTCCACCAATTGCTCCACAATCACCCTCATCTATCATCTGGGGCTGGTACAATAGGCCAGAATTGGCCGCAGTACAAGGGACTTAATCCCATCCCACTAGCAATAAAAAATAATTAAAACACCATATTTTAAAAAGAAATCATTTGTACATATTTAAATAATTTATCCAGCCTCTCTTAGGCCTACGGCTATTATATTCGGCACTGTCAATTTTCTGACTCGTCACTAATGCAAAAAATATAAAATAATATTTGATAACTTCTATGCAAATTCCGTTATTTTTGTTTTTTTGGTATAATTGGAATAAATTACCATGGATAAATTACATTTCGGATATTGACTTTGCCTCCATCATCAGGTAAAGAAAATGATATCTCACATATTATGGGCACAGATATTGGTAAATTTCTGGAATAAGATGAGAAATACTGGAGAAGTAATAGAAATATTTTTATCGAGTGCTATAAATTTAAAATTAATGTTTCCGGAATACAGTAACACAGAAATGAACAATGACCCACACATATCTTCGTCTATGCATCTTAATTTCAGCTCACGTACAATAGATTATCAACTGTAATCAGAAGCAAACAAAAAATTTCAGAAGAAATTTACTTACATGAAATGACCCGGTGGAATTTACCCATGACCGCTGTACTTATTTGACTATCAGTGCCCCCGGTCACCTCTTATCCTAGCGGGGTCACGTGTTGCTGACGAGATCCAGCTCTTAGCTCGATTCTCACACCGCTCTGATCCTAATATCGCACGCGGAAGAACTACAGTTGATCACACACAGCACCTCCATCCCTCACAAAGTCATTTTTCAAGTTAGTGGTACCCCCTTTGCAACAACCCATTGCACAGAGTGAAGTTACTGAACCGATAAGTCAGTTGTCCTACTTGTCTGATCACAAGCTGATAACTGACATTATTTGTTCGTAACATTCAGAAATACAGATCTAATATTTATAACTGCACAGCTTCAGAAGTTGCAGGAATTGATGAAATTTTAATTCAGATATTTTATGTATAGGGTAGAGATAGGGTAGTCGGTATAGCGCCTGGCTACGGGCTGGATGACCGAGGGGTCGGAGTTCGAGTCTGATAAAGTCAAGAATTTTCTCTTCTCCACGTCGTCCAAGACCGGCTCTAGGGTTCACCCAACCTCCTATCCAATGGGTACCGTGGGTAAAACGGCCGGGGTGTGAAGCTGCCCACTTTCCTCCAAATAATGGCGATATCAAGAAAATGTGGATCTATATATCCACTCCCCCCATATACCTTCATGGCGTAATGCTTAATAAGTTAAGCATAGGGACAACTTTACCTTTATTGAATAGACCTCTTCAATTTCATGACATCTTTTTTTTCGTGCTAAGGCAGTAAATTTGCCTTTAAATTGCATGTGTTCTCCACAGTTGTGTGATAAACTATTGAAAATAACTGCAGAAAACGTAGATAGTTTTGCAGCGAATTTAAGTGTCATATCACGAAATAAGCATGTTACGATATCAAGCAATTTTACCGTATTTTACACGTTCTGCACTATACTCTCCTGGCTTATACCATATGGACTGTGAGAAGTAAAGTATTTACACAGTTCTGGATCATTCGTAAGGTAAATTGCTTAAGGATGTTTTGTGGGCAATGTAATTCTGATTTGTACACACCATCTCTGAGAATACGTTACACACTGAGTAGGCAACCTTATGCGTGAAGAGTCCTGTATATACATTTCCGGTATGGCGATTGTATTTCAAGAAGAATGCTGAAGATAGAATCTAAAAACTTTCTAATGATAATGCAATGATATATGTCATTCTCTGTTGATAAACCTGCCTCAAGAATACGTCACACACAATATAATATTGATATTTTAGGATAACTTACATTTTCCTTGTAATCAGAAAAAGCAATGTCCTATCAAATGGTAAACACATCCTAGAAATGGAAGGACAAAAGGATGTCTGAATATTAGTATATGATTTTTAAGACTGCAATTATTTAAATTTGTCGCATTTAACTTAATCCTATGCAGATATTTTGCATGTATATTTTTTCTACATAAACCTGTATGCTAAATTGCTATGGCCTACTAAACAGCAACTAGACCCAAAGAAATACGGGAAAAGTGTTACTCAATGATAGCCCGTATCGCTTGTATAGATAACAAGGTCCATTATATATCTTCCATCTAACTCGCATTGCGCTCTTCTCCCTCACATCGCGGGATGAAACTGGAACGAATTGATTTGACGCGGTAGAGCGGACAGACGCAGACAGACGAGGACAGGGAGTAGTGGCGGCCACAAGTGGTTCACCCAGTCGTGCCATTAGCCACATCGCGCATTCGAATACAGAAAACATTGCCCTATTTTCGTCTGTTGCTATACTAAATATTACAAAGGGCCGCGCCATAGCTCAAGCGGTTAGTCGCTGGCTTCCCACCGAGGCGGGCCGGGTTCGATCACGGGTCTGGTCAAGTGGGATTTCGGGTGGACAAAGTGGCGCTGGGGCAGGTTTTCTCCGAGTACGTCGTTTTCCCCTGCCAATCTTGATTCCACCAATTGCTCCACAATCACCCTCACCTATCATCTGGGGCTGGTACAATAGGCCAGAAGTGGCCGCAGTACAAGGGACTTAGTCCCACCCCACTAGTAATAAAAAAAACTTACAAAAATATAGTTCTCGTGCTTAGTTATTTTCTTTTGTGGGTCATTTCACGGCTCTGTCAGTAAGTAGAACTTACAGCGTCGACGGTAGTATGACAGAGTGATGATGGATTCGAAAAGATTCTGGAAGGCAGTGGTCGCGGCTTATTTGAGGTAATATCCCAGAATTTTACTGAAGGGACTGAGTAAAGCCATGAAAAACCTCAAAATAGCAGGTGTCCCGGCCGAAATTCGAAAACAGTATCTCCAGAATGCAAGTCCCGATACGCCAATCCATCGAAATGTGCTTAATTAACAATAAAACCCACGAAGAAGTTGAAGGGGAGTGTAGATATATCTCCACTCATTCTTATTTTAGACACTAGATGGAACTGGATAATAATCTTTAGGTTCCGGTCATTTTATTCCGGGGGGACAAGAACAGGCGGTAGGGATCCAAAGCCAGTCTGAAAGCTGTAGAGAAGGAAGAAATACCATGCTCCTACCTATAATCGAACCTCGATTTCTTAGTCGTCCAGATCGTAACTTACTTGCGATACCTTAGAGCTTAATAAATTAATCAATAAGCCGACAACATAGCCGACCTTATAACAAATGAAACCTTCGCAGGCGTATTTTCGAAGATAATCCAATTAGATATAGCTGCATGTGATGGGCGCGTATTGTCTTAATATGGTGAATTGTTAAAGAACAAGGCAACAATCAATTATAACACACGTTTACTAAAGTACTGAATCAATATTCATGGGTAATAAGATCTAAAATTCTGTGACGATGGTATATTAATAAAAATATTACGTTTCTGGTCATTATCTATCACCCTATTTTTATTTAAAACACAACGTTTCTGGGACTGGGTTCTGTCTTCGTCTTCAGGTAAAACCTACTCCGTTTAGTTGATCCTTGTCTCCGGACACCTGCACCAGCACAAGGCAGAGAAGTCAAGCACAGCACAAACCATTTGTGAGAGTTAAGACAAAACACTGAAACGTTAAAAATTCCACATGTATGAGGTCTAGCACCAGAGAACTATCAAAATAGAAGTCATCACTGGAGGGATAAATTCTCTGCACGGTGCCAACATAAAAACACAAATTGTCCCACTCATAGTACACCGGCAGGAGTTGTAGTAATTTGACTTCTGCTGGGATAACGGAAATCAGGGTGATAGACATATCCAAGCTGGGTTGAGTGACAGGATGTTTTTGTTATAGTTACATATTCCAAATTCTTCCAATACTTTACTCGCCCATCATCCCTCTACTCGACGCTGTAGCGCTTACAATCTGAAATACTGACATCCTGGAATTAATCACGTACATGTGCCCATGAATGACCAGCAAGTGAAGTTTCATTTTGGAATTCAGAAAATAGTGCTTTTGAGAATCGTAAAAGAATCTCGTAAAATATTTTAATTGAAACACTGGTGAAAATATTAAAAATATTGCAGTGCATTTCAACATAAATCTATATACTTTTAATTGCCAGTTCGTTAGTAAAATTATTACAATATTTCCCGTTCTTCCCAAATATTCCCCTGACACCCTGACTGTAGTTGTTCTGCTGTGTTGATTCGCGCCCCCCCCCCACATACACACACACCCTGAAACCTTGCCTCCTTTCCTAACTGTAGTTGTTCTACTGTGTTGGTGGATCACCCCCCCACAGGGCACAGCGGTGTGAACCAGCTAGGGGGGGTATTCGTCAGCGGCCGACCCCTGCCGGATTCTACGCGACAGAAAATAGTCGAACTGGCGCATTCAGGAGCGCGGCCCTGCGACATTTCTCGCATCCTGCAAGTGTCCAATGGCTGTGTTTCCAAAATTTTAGGCAGGTAAGAACATGACACGTTTTAACACCTTACTAGAAACACAGTGAAGAAAGGGTAAATTCGGGTGGTAAATTCAATTCACGATTTATTATTGTAAGTTTATATTTAACTATTCAGACATGGGTACATAAAAATGAATTACTGTCCCATTATTCTGGCGTATACAGAATGCCCCAGGAGGAAAGGTGAATATTCTGGCAGTTAAATCCGAACGGTTTCCGAGATAGAGCTATTTCACTGTACAGTGCACAGTACACTGTACAGACGAGCAACACGTCATGTACTCACAAGAGTTGTAAAGTGCATTCATGTTGACAGCGGAATTTTCGAAAATTTAATATACTAGGTAAACTTACCAACTTTGACACTTGAACAATAAATATCGGTATTAGAAACAGTACGTTCTTCAGTAGTTGCAGAATTGGCGGCTCCTCCAGAAGGGCTCAGCTCCAGGAGTAGGTAAGTAAGTAAGTAAGTAAGTAAATTAGAAACAGTACGTAATATCTCTTTCTTATCAACAATTTTGGAACTGTATGATTAAATAGCTCCATCTCGGAAACCGTTCGAATAAGACACATGTACATATGTGTATATACATTTCATTTTTGCTTAGAATGACCGATATTATGACCTACAAGAATATTAACCTTTCCTCCTGGAACACTCTGTACACTTGTTATTAAAATTATTTATTATTATATTATTTAATATATTTATTAAAGTACTGACATGAAAATATTAGTACTAACAAATTTAACAATTTTTTTACATTTTTCATAAATATGAAGATTGTTAAAATGAAACCCGTTCGCTGCACTGTAACGGATAAGGTCAAGAAAGCTCTAAATGATCAGACAAAGAAGCCAGGGCCATTGTTGTTTCAGCAACAGCCCAGGCAGTTCTATACAGAGGGGATCCATTCGCTGGTGTCCAGATGCGATGCTGGCTGGCCTCAGTGTCCATGAGGACTATTTCTAACAAACTCTGCTTCTTTGTACAGAATAATCTCTTAGACTGGGTTAATTTCAAGAACATTTGTAATCTGCCTGTAATAACTGAAAATATCGGTCTTATGTTCTGCAATCGTGGTAATACAAAAGGAGTGATTATAAATTTAATTTGTGATTGTATATAAGGTATTTAGAAATCTAGATGACACGTACAATAAATCAAATGTTGAGGACGAAAACTGTGTTTCCTACAGCCTTAAAACAACAATAAAATATTTCGCGAACAGAACGTAAAGACCTATGCCTTATGAAATATCTTCATTATTAGCAATAGATTTCACTATCTTTAATTTGTGTGGAAAATGAATATGTGTTTTGATGTCTTAAACAGTTTGCCGCCTTTTCCTTGAAAGTTCTGTTGAAATTAGTAAGTCACTAACACATTAGCATCTGATGCTCCAGGCAGCGAATTTCATTAATGATATTCAGTGTTAAATTTCAGAATTCTTTAAGCATGCTTCATTCTTCACTGTGGTTCTAATAAAAGCAAAGTATCCTACATTTCCTTTACAACGCCAAGTGATAACATTAATGAAGCTCACAATAGGAGAAAGGAAAATTAGAAGAACAAATCCTAATTTTATTATGTGTGAGGTATTCACGGCGTGAATATGGAGATTATAGTGCAATCTTTTGGATGTGACGTCGTGTAGTCGGATAGATCTATATCAGTTTTATATGAAGGTGCTGCCTCCATCTTTAAGAGTAGAAGTACTCTGGAGATGGACGCAGTAATTTCCCCCGAAAAAATGGTGTTTTTTCTGGTAGACTACTCGGAGTCACATCCAACCCTATGATCGCTGTCGATCTGTTGTACCTCCCCTGTCGTCCCTACGAATACTCTGGAGCGAGGCGAAAGAAACTGAATTTCATTTTGTGGTTATCATTTGGCATTTATACATACCTTCTGCAGAATGTTATAGACTAAGTTTGGTTCTATTCATACCGTAATTACGAGCGGGAATTAGTAAATTGGTTACAAATGGAAGCAAAACAGCTGTATAAAAAGTCTAGGTAGCATACGCGCATGCGCATGTTCAGGGGCTGGCTTCAGTAGTTGAAATGTCGACCGTGCATTAGTGTATACTACCGAAGAGCAGCGTTTTCTGTGGGGAAAAGAACTCAATGTAAAGGATATTCATAAAGAAATATTTCCTGCTTACGATCGGAAGAGATTGTCTCGTAAAGCGGTTCCACCTTGGGGGCAAAAGTTTTGGTGATGCAGAAGAGGTTCAAACGAAGTTGCAGAAGTGGCTGAGACAGCAGTCGAAAGACTTCTATGCTGCGAGTTTCGACGCATTGGTAAAACGATGGAACAAGGGTATCAATGTTGGTGGAGAATATGTCGAAAAATCTGCGGTTTTCTTCCGGGTTCAAATATGACATGTTTTACGCTTTATATCCATTTGTGACCGATTTACTGATGTCTGGATGTCCGTTCCTTACGGCGGTGAGTATGAAAAGTGCAGTTTTCTGGTTTCAAACGTCCTGTAGTTCGGTGAAATCCCTACTTTTCGGAGGAACTTATCACCTCCATCAACAGGTCAAAGACCACGCCAAGCAACAAATGAGGAGAAGCAAGCTACAAAACGAACTAAGCTGAGCTTGATATTTGCTTCGGCTGGTTTAGCACTAGGCTTACATTTTCACTTTTAAAATTGAGGTTGTATGCTTCCCATAAGAGTCGGAATGTTTCCGAAATAAATGACGTTGCAACTCACAAATCTGAACTATTCAGTAAACAACTTGCCTAAAAACGTACAGGATGTTTATTTATACATATAATTTGAAGTATTATGTACCACCTGATTAAACATCAAGAAAATTTGTATCCTTTTTTTTCCAAATAGTCTATTTATGTGTTTTGTATGATTCTTCGGATAAACAAATATGATTTCACTACAAAATATTAACCAGCTAAACAGAAACTCAAGATCTTTTTTCTGTGAGATAAGAAATTAATTTTTAAACTTTATTTTGGGTTAATTTCATGCTTCATAGAATTAAAATGTAGGACCCATATTCGTTGTAACGGATTTTAATAATTAAATTACACTTGGTGAGTATAGCATTCGGAAGAACCAGATGGGAACTAATAAATCCCGAGGAGTTTAGTCGAAATTAGCTTTCATAAATTTCCCAATTTATCCTAGAAATATGCCAGAAATAATTTTATTAAATTAGGTCAAAATTGGCATAAAATTTCCCTCCATGTCTTTTGCGTGTATAGACGAATTCGTGTTGGAGAATGGTCTGCTGTATACATGAAAACGATGACCCGTTTGCTGTGATATTTATACTTGTAGTGTGGCATTTCTCCAAGTCACTTCTGACCAATGTAACTGATCAGCAAGTACAGATCCTATCGATGGTTTATGTCTCGCCATTGTGCTAGATCAAGCAAGTGGAACCATTTTTGAAAGTGTCCCCATGTTGGGGAGCACTTCCTTAGCTTCTGCATCAGTATTATTCTCCCCAGCGAAAAAGTTCTTATCTCTAACTGCCCATCCACTCCGCCCCATTCAATATGGCCGGATGTGTTTATCGGCAGCTCTTCGGACTTCATGTGCCCCATCCTTCATCCCTTTTATTTCTCACCCTCATTCAGCCCCCCCGCTCCCATTCACCAACAATTGGGAATGGAAGCTCCAAGGACTAAGATGAGATTATGAAGTCGACAAACTCTGCTTCTCACTGAAAGAATTTGTATATCGCTTGCTCTGACCATTAAAGTCAATGACTGAAATTAAGCCAATAAACGTACAATTTAGTATAGAAATAGATAACCTATACTATTCTAAGCGGGAGTAGGAAAACTGAGATCCGTGAGTCGGAAACAGACAGCGTGATTTGACCACTTGTAAAATTGTATACCCTCATGAAATAAAGTTACCCTTGTAACACACCATGAAGACCCATATTATTGTGAGACATTGAGGCTCCCACATTTTCTAGACAATCGGCTCACAGATGGCGGTGAGATTGTCAGCCTTTCCCGCCAGCCGTCTTCTACCACCAAGGAAGGTTCCTGGTACTCACTTCTGTCAGGGGCTGAGTCGACCTCAGAGTAATAGTGTGGCTGGAAGGATTAGGTGAATTGACAAATCCAATGATTTAATCAGGAATCGATCCCATGACTTTCCAGCTTGTAGCATAATGACTCAAACAAAGTACGCTATTGCGTTCTACTTCATGCAGTAAGCATACAAAATATTTTTATGTAAGATTTCAAGGGTTCTCGGCTAGTAAATGCGCTAAAATTCTCTCAGTCGTGTCAATGTTGAACTAAAAACAAAGGTTTCAGAGAGGCCGCGCCATAGCTCAAGCGGTTAGTCACTGGCTTCCCACCGCGGCGGTCCGGGTTCGATCCCCGGTCTGGTCAAGTGGGATTTGTGGTGGACAAAGTGGCGATGGGGTAGGTTTTCTCGGAGTATTTCGGTTTCCTCTGCCAATCTTCATTCCACCAATTGCGCCACAATCACCCTCACCTATCATCTGGGGCTAGTACAATAGACCAGAAGTGGCCACAATATAAGGGACTTAGTCCCACCCCACTAGCAATAAAAAAAAGGATTTCAGAGATCTCTTCGGACACCTTCTTCAGGGTCGATGTGGTGAACCACCATATGTCACTGATATTAATACCGGTTTGTCAAATCGATGCCTCTTGCTGTTGGTGTACTGTGCACTAGGAGAGCGGAGTCAAACTGTGCGGTAACCCATCTGACTCTGACATTTCACCGTGTTGCTTAACCCTGTATCCTCGATTTCAAACTATTTTGTTTCATTTTTGCATGCTGTTCTCTGTATCTTCTTGGGAATATCGTGATGTACGCGTGTTGGAGTGCCTTAATAATCTGGTGCTGGGATTCCATGCTTTGCTGAGTTTCAACCCTTCCTCTCTGTTTATACTGTCGGGAAGTGTTCAAATTCAGCAAAGCATGGATTTCCAGCACCAACACACATATAACACGATAATCCCAAAAAGACACAGAGAACAGTATGCAGAAAAGAAAACAGTTTGACGAGAGGGACTCCAGGTTAAGTGTTCAAATTCAGCACAGCATGGATTTCCAGCACCAACACACATATAACACGATAATCCCAAAAAGACACAGAGAACAGTATGCAGAAAAGAAAACAGTTTGACGAGATGGACTGCAGGTTAAGCAACAAGGCGAAGGGTTAGAGTCGGATAAGTGACCCCACAGTCTGACTCCACCCTCCTACTGCACAGGACACCAATAGGAAGAGTCATCGATTTGACAAACTGGTGTAAATATTAGCGACATACGGTGGTTCACCACATCGACCCTGATGAAGGAGTCGGGGATCTCTGAATCGTTAATTCTTAGTTCAACACTGACACGGCTGATCGCCCGAGAGGATCTGAGTACAAACGGATTTTACTCGTATAATTGATCAAACTAAAGGAATCAATGCCGGTCACGGTAGCTGAGCGGTCTAAGGCATGCACTGTCTTCGCTCGCTCTGAAGCCGGGATCGTGGGTTCGAATCCCACTCAGGGCATGGATGTTTAGTTTTTGTGTGTGCGTTTTTCTGTGTTTGTGTACAAGTAGAGGTCTTGCGACGAGCTGACCACTCGCCCAAGGAGTCCTACCGAATGTGTAAGATTTAGTAAACCGAAGTGAAACGGAGAGTTTCATGGAGGTAGGCCTAGGCCCAAAATTGGGGCTGTAGCGCCACAGAAAAAAAAGGAATCAATAAAATTTAGCGCATGGATGAAATTCGGAGTCGGGATAGTTCAGTCGGAATAGCGATGCGCTGGATGACCGAGATATTGGAGTTCTACTGCCGGCAGGGGAAAGAGACTTCTCCACAGCACCCCACTGGTTCTGGGGCCCATCAGCCTGCTATCCATTGGGTACCGGGCTTAAAAAACCGCGGCGTGAAGCTGCCACTCACCTCCATCGAGTACCGAGGTTAAGAATGAATGGAGCTATACCTCTATTCCCTAATTAGTCGGCAATGAGTGACGCTTATTTAAGTAAGCACAGAAACAACTATATGTTTACGTTTTTATCTGTGAGAATATTGTCACGTATTTGGGGTGCGTGACTTATAGACGGGTTTTGGATTGGATATCGGATTTATTGACATCTTATACACTCACTCAGAACTACAGGCAATTACAGCGCTACAGCTATTTCCACACTAGCGTCTTCGGCCTTCACTAGTCGTATTCTGGCAACAGATTCATAACAGTATCACTGTCACTTCAAATCACACTTTAAGTCTTCTTTGCACAGCCTAATTCTTTTCTTGTCGTTATTCTGCAACTGCCAACTCCAGAAACTCTCTCAATTCTAATTCTTCTGCTCCCAAGCTCATATCAGGCAGGCTGGCGCCTCGAAACTCAACTGCTTTAAACGATCTTCTTTGCCCGTCTTAAAACCAAACGGCACGGACCACGCAAAAATGTCTTTCTCTCTCTCTCTCTCTATTGCTGACAAGGTGTTTACAGCGCCGTTTCATAGCAACGGTCGCGGTGCAGACCACATAGAAAACACCGCTCTACTATTCTTGCAGGCGTTCGTTTCCGTTACTTAGAAACGGGTTACATAAGCCCTTTCTTCTATTGTTGCGTGCATGTAATTTGCAGGCGTTACGTAACGACGACAGCTGTTTACAGAGTCACCATTCAGCAACGTGTCTATAGGCCACAATATGTTAAGTGAAATCAGATAAATGTCACTTATATGAGCAACATCATTATGAGATGGTAACGGCCACGGCATACCATGTAGATATTGAAATGACGATGATCATAGATTTGTGTCCCTTACAGGAACGTCTAGTTTGTCGACAATAATTTCAGAGAAATCCATACAGGAACTTCGCCACAGACGCGCCTGCTTTTTCTGTCCGGCGGAACCCCGCTCTCTCTGGCACGTCAACCAACTCTTTATCCCCTTAGCGCTTCCTCGTGGAACCCGTTCAGGTGGAAAACATCTCATCCACATGTACTTATTCTTGCATGCTAGAATGACCTATAGGCCATTACTAGAAACACTTATAATAAACTGCATTTAAGCTCATATAAAATTTACCTAAGTCTGAGGTTGTTAGTAAATTCTTCAAGATTTGGAGTATATTCGCTTTATTTGTAGTAAGCCTCTGGTTTTAATCTCATTCGGAAATTTTTATCTTTATTTTTTCATTTAGTTTCACACAAATGCCGGAATATGACATCGATACAGGCCACTGCCACTTCCAGCTCACAATAATAACCGGTAGAGTTGATATTATGTCGTTAAAATTTTATCATAAATTTGTACATGTCCCTTAAGCACCACATCATGAAGACGTAGAGGGCGAGTATGGATGTCGGAGTCCAATTTCACGAACTTCCCTCTCGTCAGAGAGAGTGTGTGTCAGTTTGGTAAGCGCTGCATGAGGGGAGATCAAGTGTAGGGACTACAACATGCATTCCGTGACGCTACGACAGCACCAGACATAACTATGCCGACATTGGTATAGTGCTGTGATAACAAGGACATAAGTGAAAGGTAAAAAGGTAAAGCTATCTTTGTAATAAGCCGTCGAGGCTCTTATATTTTCTAGACAATGAGCTCACAGGTGGCGGTGGGGATGCCAGCCTTACGCGCCGGCCGCCCTTTGCCTCCAGGAAGATTCCTGGTACTCATTTATGTTAGAGGCTGAGTCGACCCCAGGGCCATAGTGCGGCTGGAAAGATTAGATCAATTGAAGAAAATCCAATGACCTCATCGGGACTTGAACCCGTCGCGGCTTGTAGCATAGTGCCTCAACCAGCTATGCTGCCGCGTCGGACATGAATAGACCTGTATTTGTATACAGTTGTAATATATCCGGATGGGATAAAAACCAGTGACCATACACTTGTGACAACAGTAATGAACCTCTGGATCCCATAAAATAGCTGGTAATACCTTGAGGGTGAACGAAGAAGTTCATGGAGGTAGGCCTAGGCCCACTGGGGCTGTAGTGCCAAGGAAAAAAAAATCTTGAATACCTTAGTACTTATTAGCCTCTCAAGGTGGATTCAGCTGTATGGGGTTAGTTAGTTCGTTAGTTCTATTATAGTGCCATTTACCAGCTTCCCGGAAACTGTCCCCTCAAGGGATGAATCGAAATATAAGACAGACTCATTCGAAATGTCTTGACATGCTGCTATATCCGGAATACGACGCGATCACCATGGAAACCGCAAACTCCACACTATATTTGGCGCAGAGCTGTAACTCACGCTACTCTTGTAGTTACAGCTACAGCCCTGTCACTGGATTCTTTTGAAGCTGTATTCACGTTGGTATGAGGATGCACGCTGGCCATTCGTGGAGCAGGGTCAGGTTTTCTCTGGTCTTGTCTTGTTTGGTTCAACTCGAACTCACACAGAAAAAACACACGAGGGGGTAGCTGTTTTTCTTTACAAAAATATTCGCCAAGATTTGAAGTAACTGTATCTTTCCTGTCTTTCTCTTCCGAAAGATATATCTTGAATAAGGGAAGGGAAAGCTGCCTTTAGAAATAGAGTTATCTTCCTAAAACCGTATATTTATATATATATATATAATTCCACTCAGCGGGTTGATGCAGCTTAAGGTTTTATATTAGTGTTCGGGATGTACTCAGTTCGAATCACGGACGGGACACCGGATATTCTAATCTTCGTGGATGACCTCAGTCTCTACAGAAAAATGCCGATATAGTACCTCAATCAGACCAAGACTGCTTCCTTCCAGATATTTTCCAATTCATATACCATTTGGACGATATACAGTGCAGCTACTGACAATGTTATAAAGTACTTCCACCACTCCCCCCCCACACACATATAAATCTATATCATCCCCAAAGGAAATATGCAGATTTTGCTTCATCGAACCTCGGTTTCATGAGAGGCAAGCTTGTGTAAGGCTTACTATAATTTGCTTATAGCTATATCTACAGGTGGTCTACAGACTGCAAATGTTCTTCTATGTGCATAGCAACGTTTTGTACGCTAAGTTTTGTCGTTTTCACTATGTAATTTCGTGTTACCATAGCAATGAACTGTCAAGCGTTAGCATTTTGCGTGAATGCAAGTTGTGTAGTAGGTCACGAAAGAACGAGCAATTTTTCTTTCTTCATATGAATTCTGTTCTGTGAGGACTGAAAATATTTTTGGTCAACCTTAATATTATCCTCCCATCTACGTTTAGGTGTTCCTATTGGTTTCTTACTTCAGGTTTTCCTACCAAACACCTGTATGCACGCCTCTTTCGCATGCGTGCTACATACCGTGTCCATCTCACCATCCTTGACTAGATTACTTTAATTATATTCGGAGAGAAGTACAAGTTATGAAATTCCTCATTATTCAGTTTTCTTGAGCCGCCTTAAATTTCGCTTCTCTTTAGTTCAAATATTCTCCTCATCAATCTGTTTTTCCTTGCGTGCTATAATTTAAAATTCTAAGATGAAGAAAGCAGATTGTATTTTTTAAGAGAATTGAAACATTTAAAACCCCTTCTACTCTTGTTTCACTGTTCTTTCTTATGGGTACAGGTACTACGAGACAGGTTCCATTCGACCGAGAGCCATTGGCGGATCGAAACCCCGGGTTGCCACGGCAGAAGTGGTGAACAAGATCTCGCAATACAAGAGAGAGTGCCCGTCCATCTTCGCTTGGGAGATACGAGACCGGCTGCTGCAGGAGGGCGTTTGTACTGCCGACAATATTCCAAGTGTAAGTTACCTCATAATTAAGAGCATTTAGAGTCAAAGCCAGAATTACTTTACGATTGGCGGTTTACAGCCAATCAGTTCGTCTTAGCTCCAAGCCCCATGAGACTCATGACAAGAGAGTTTTCTTTTGTGCAACTGAATCCTTACGGTCATAGTCATTACATGGGTCACGCGGTAGCGTAGTTGGTTGAGGCACCATACTATAAGCCGGAGGATTGCAGGTTCGATTCCCGATGAGGTCATTGGATTTTTCAATTGACCTAATCCTTCCAACTGCACTATGGCGCTGGGGTCGACTAGGCCTCTAACAGAAATGAGTACCAGGAATCTTCCTGGGGGTAAAGGGCGGCCGGCGCGTAAGGCTGACAAATTCACTCCCATCTGTGACCCGATTGTCTAGAAAATGTGGGAACCTCGACGTCTTACAACCCTATGGGTCTTCACGGACGGTTACAGGGATAGATCTACTTTTTTTACAATAGTCATTATGTAATACCATCTCTGACGAAAGGATGTACATACCATACAAATCGTAAACGCAGTATGATATTGAAAAATTTCTCCTTTCACAATGTATACAAGTCTTGTGTCGGTCCAGGCTTAACAAGGCAGATCATGCCTATCTTATTTAGCTACGATACAACATCAACTTTGTCACTTGAAAGGTCGTAAACGTGACCGGCGAGAGCATTTTCAATGTAGTAAAAGCTCTATTTAGAGCAAGAATCGTGTATATATATATATATATGTGTGTGTGTGTGTGTGTGTGTGTAAATTATATAAACAGTAAAATATGATCACGAATTCCAAGGGACTCGAATCCTGAAAAGACTGCGCTGGCAAGGGCCAGCAGCATATACAAAATAAATACAGACCCATACTCTCGTCAGAGAGGGCGCCCCACGAAAACAAAACTGTAACTGTCAAACAGCAATAAATATCTGGTCATGAGCCCCACATGGGGCTCGACACCAAGAATTACTGACTGACTGGCCGTCAGTCGCAATGTGACTTTGTATAAATGATGTCTAGTCATTAGAAGCAGTGGAGCCATTGTTAGAAACAGGTCGTAGTTGTGAGATCTGAAATTAGTATCTTCTGGGATCTGTAGTTTGCGGATTATTTCATTGCATCATTGCATCCTAAAAAAAGAGGTAAAGCTATCTCTGTAAGAGGCCGTGAAGGCCCATAGGGTTGTGAGACGTCGATGGTCCCACATTTTCTAGACAATCAGCTCACAGATGGAGGTGAGGTTGTCAGCTTTACGCAGCGGCCGCCCTTTACCTCCAGGAAGATTCCTGGTACTCATTTCTGTTAAGAGGCTGATTCGACCCAAGGGCCATAGTGCGGCTGGAAGGATTAGGTCAATTGAAAAATCGAATGGCCTCATTGAGAATCGAACCCGCGACCTTCCGGTTTGTAGCATAGTGTCTCAGCCAACAAAGCTACCGCTTGCCCCCGATCTCTATGAAGAACAGAAATATTTCTTCCCACTGGCGAGAATCGAATCCCGATTCTCCCGTTATCCACTTCGTAGGCTAGCCACTATACTGACTAAGCTATTATTGATATTTCACAATAAAGACATGTCTAACTTTCGAAAATGCGAGGTTCATGGAGATGAAGTGGTAGGTTGCTTTCCTGTCTCGCTCTCTGATGGATGGGGCGGTTTGCCTTGTTCTTAGGGGTGCGTTTATATCAACGTTGCCATGGAAATTTGCATGCACCATCCAATAATGGCTGAAGAAGACTCCCACCCTACAAGCTTCTCTTCACAACCCTGTAAGAGTCTTTCTTCCCCTCAAAGAAGAGCAGAAGCGTATTTTCTTTATAACAGGGGCGGAGGGAGCGAGAGAAAGAGAAAGTGGGGCGGGAGGAAAGGGGGAGGCCGGGAAGCGACTAATGTATAGCGGAAGCTTGAAATTGAAGTTTTAAATGCTGCAAAAGCAAAGGCAGAGGCAGGTTAAAAGGCAGGAGAAGGAAGGAGGAGTGAAAAGAGAAGTTTGGGCATATGCCGAGCAGCATCCAGACACCCGACAGAGTCAATAGGTGAAAAAGCGATACAAAGACAAATTTAAAACATAAGTACGTAAGTAAGTAGGGGCCGTGTCATAACTCAGGAGCTCAGTCGCCGGCTTCCCACCGTGGCGGCCCCGGGTTCGAGCCCAGGACAGGTCATGTGGAGAAAAAAGTGGCGCTGGTGAAGATTTTCTCCGAGTACTTCGTTTTCTTCTTCCAATTCTCATTCCACCGACTACTCCACACTCATCATCTATCATCCGAGGCTTGTACAATAGGCCAATTAGCGGCCGATGTACCAAGTAGACTCAGTCTCACCAAACCCGAAGAAACTGAAGAGAAAAAGTAATTTTTTTTTATTCGCTTAGTGGGGGTGGAGTCCAACTGGATCCACTCGGCACGGCGGCCACTGATTGGCCTATTGTAGCCTGCCCTCGGTGATTATGATGATGGAGGATTTGGTGGAATGAAGACTGGCAGAAGAAACCGAAGTACTCGGAAAAAACCCGCCTCAGCGCCACTTTGTCCACCACAAATCCCACTTGACCAGACCCGGGCTCGAACCCGGGCCGCCGCGGTGAGAAGCCAGCGACTAACCGCTTGAGCTATGGCGCGGCCAAGAGAAAAAGTAAGTAAGTAAGGCTACTACTGTAACAGTGAATTTCATATCTTTCCATCGCTTTCGAGTTGATAGCAGTCATGCTTTGTATTTGTATTCCCACGTTCTAACATCGGCCCTAACACTATCTATCCTATGCGTGTCCCTCCGACCAAACGCCGGGATAATGTCTGCAAATATGCCAGCATACGTTCCCTCCAGAGAGGCAGGTGGTGTAGTGACTAGGTTGCTTCGTGTTTGGGTGATCCCAGGTTCAAATATCGGCTCAGAAACTGACATCCCCACTAGGCATGTTCACGGTCTTCCTCAGTCCCTCCAAGCAATCTATAGAGCCGGGATATCTCAGTGGATATAATGACTAGGACACTGGCTGGACGACAGTGAATACGGAACTTCATTACTGACATGAAGAAATTTTAACTCTTCTCTGCGACACTGAGACCAGCTTTGATATCCACCCAGCCTCTTATCTATTGAACAGAAAGAAAAAAGTAAAGTTGTCCGGGAACTTTACTACTTAAGCACTATGCCATGAACGCGTGTGGGGAGTGGATGTATAGACCCACGTTCTCTTGACCTCTGAACTGTTGGAGGTGTTGTCAGCTTCACGCTCTGGCCGCTTTGCCCCCGGTAATCATTGAGTAGGAGGTTTTTGGACCCCAGAGCCGATCTGGACGAGATCGAGAAGTGAAAATTCTTGATCCTACCGGGACTCGAAATCCGAGTAAATTTCCCTGGGGGTAAAGCGGCCGGTGTGTGTAGCTGATCACTCACCTTCATCTAGTGCCGAGGTTAAAATGAGCGGAGTTATACTTGCACTCCCTTATTTGTGTTCATGTCAAATGCTTACGTAATCACAGGAAAGACAATAAAAATGCCTTTAAATTTTCCTGTACGCAAGCACCTGATATACAAACTTTCGGTCGAGAAGTAGTCTTCCTGTTTCGCATTTTGGTGGTATCGGTTCAACTCTCGGCCCACAAACCGGCTGGTCTGACTTCCATTCTTTGTGATTTTCTCGCTTCTTCCAGGAAAATTCAGGGATAGTGCTTCAAATTAGGCTAACACCCAATCCTTCTACATTCTTTATACTTCATGAATAGCTTCACCTTACTTTTTTTTAAGTTGGTATCTTGCTGAGCTTATTCTTACTCTGAAGATGGAGGCAGTACGCTATCATAAAAATAAGTAAACAACTATCGGACTGCAAGGCGTCACATCCCACGAGTTCGTACTCTCTAAAATAGTAATTTTATACAACTTGAACAATTGTTTAGGTGTTCAAGGCCGTATGAGACCAGCACAAGTTAACGTTGATGCTGTAAAGTAGATTGCAGGCAACGACAACCAACACGCTTCACTGGTCCACGCAGCTTCCAATCAATGTCGGAGATTGTCTCGACTTCCCTCCCACATGATGCTTTACCAAAACCCAACTGACTCTTGTTTGCTCCGCCCAGCAGCCCTTACCAACCGCACTCTCTACTTCGCTGCATATGTAAGGAGACTGAAACAGATAAGCGCCTAGCAATTCATAACTGAGACAACCCCCACAAGTTAGTTCCACCGCAAACGGTCAGAGCACATGTTTACAGATGTCAGTGTCACGACATGTTTCTGCCACTAAATACCCCTCGACAGACAGATATAAAGGTAAAGCTATCACTGTAACAGGCCGTGGAGGTCCATAGGGTTGTGAGACGTCGAGGCTCCCACATTTTCTCTAAACAATCGGCTCACAGATGGCGGTGAGGTTGTCAGCCTTACGTGCCGGCCGCCCTTTACACCCTGGGAAGATTCCTGGTACTCATTTCTGTTAGAGGCTGAGTCTACCCTAGGGCCATAGCGCGGCTGGAAGGATTAGGTCAATTGAAAATTAGAACTACCTCATCGGGAATCGAACTCGCGACATTCCGGCTTGTAGCACAGTGACTCAGCCAACTAGGCTACCGCGTGTCCCCCCTCAACAGACGGATAAATATATAAAAAGACATAAAACTGCAAAAGAGCTTAATCTCCTCGAGGACTACCGCCTCATCATGGAGAGGAGGTCTGCGCGCCCCAGTGACCCCGGATAGCTATGCTAGCGGGAGCGTAAGCTGGTAAGGCTATCCAAGCCAGACAAATCAAAACTCAGGGGTCAGACAAACTGTAATTCCTGGTCCTCCAGGTTGGGAATTGGACGTGGGACCAACGACCGCGATCCAGAAACAAATTTTTGTTGTGAAACCATGAAGGAGTCCAAAAACCATACAGGTCTTAACGCCAGTAAGAAAGAAGATACATACTAACAAAAAATACTTTATTATTTAAACTTCAAACATTAGTTAAAGAAAATATTAGCTTCACTAATATTATATTTC